AAGGAAAGGAAAGGAAAGGAAAGGAAAGGAAAGGAAAGGAGAGAGAGAAAGGAAAGGAAAGGAAAGGAAAGCCTGTCTCTCTGTTTTGCAGTAAGCAGTTTATATTGACCCACTAAACGCCCACAAGAGGAACAGAAAAGCAAGACCAAGTACATACCTCTTTGGAGCACCAAGCGCATTTTGGATGAATGAGCAGGCACTCTTCACAGGAAGTAGCACTTCCACTTGTGCAAATATTGAGACCTTCAGCAATAAAAAACAACAGAGTCATCTTACGGGAGAAATAGCTGGAAATTAGTGCTCATCGCAATACACTTTATGTAACAATTAATGTAAGATTAAACATTTCACAGGCCTTTGGAGCTTGAACCACTGAAAATTAGGACTCTAGTGATTTCCCTTCCTCCCTGCTCAGATCAATTAATTTTGGAAGAGTTAGTCAATTGATCAATCCAATTAAATATTTCCAAGACTTCTGCTAGAACACAAGTCATTACTTTGATATTAATGTTGCTCCTTGCAAATCCTAGATAACACTGACTTTTAAAAACTGGCAAAACAAGTCATAGTAGGCTTTTTTATTATTATTATTCCTTTTCATCTGAATGAACTAGTAGGGTAAAATATTAATACATCTGTTTCATCTTAAATTAGCCTTTAATTATCTCCTATCCCCACTTCCCATACGAGTGATTTACATAATTGAGTCATCTCCTTACTCTAAATTGCTTTAATTTATTAAGAGTCATTTCCATAGGATATCCAGGTTAAGCAGGACAGCTTGTTTATTTTGGGTAATGTCCAGTGCATCTTAAAATGGAACATGTTGCTCCACACTGTATGGTAATACAGTGCTAATGGAGTGCTAATGCAAAACACACATTGACGCAGGCATACACAACTTGCAATGTTATCTGCACCCTTAAATTATTAGCGTCATACAGAGTAAAGACAACCAACAAGGTTTTATATGCAGAATCTAGTATGGAGGTTCTGATCACATTAAATTAGTGCTGAGTTGCCATCACTAGGATTAAATCGTACTAAACATCAGAAGTATTAGGCTTGAATGCAACCGTTTACATTTAATAGTGTCTGTAGCTATGATGAAAATAACATTTGAAGCCACTGATGTCTCTATGCTCCAGTGTGCAGCTATTAACGTCAACTGTCGATAACTAATTAGACAAAATTCCAACAGAGGAGTCTATGTGGATGCTGCACAGTCTAAAAGGAAATGCCCCGGGCTTGAATTCTGAGCCTACTTATTTTTTCCACACTGAATGTCACTGAAAGCATTTCAGGCCTCGTGCTACAGTTCATCAATTTGCAGACAATTATATCCACAGACCCTATTGCACTACGCATAACGCTAGTGAAGGCTGAGCAGACTTGGTGATGTCTGGAAAAGGGCTGATTAAAGTTTTGCTCTTTAGGGGGAACTTTTTGTTGTAATGTCAGCGTATGAGGCCCAACTGCTGCCTTCCTTGAATGCATTTATATTTAAAAATTGTAAATGTTGGATTTGGCTGTATGAGTCACTCAAGTTTGAGGGATGTATCGAAGAGGAAGGAAGTTGTGAATCAAGCTGGACAGCTGTATAAGGGCATGCCATGCTCTTGGTTAGAAGCTAGTAAAGGGTAAATTATTCCATCACAATTTTTAAGTCATGATTGTGCCCTGACTGTTTATGTCAATGCCTCACACTGACAATTATCTATAACCCACAGGATGATTCATTTTAACTCACTCTCCCTAAATCAAGGGAGCTATGACCTGTATTTTTTCAATGGTTTTCATTAAAGGATACCGTCTGGTTTTGTTTTCATTTAACATTAGGCTTATTATAATGTTATTTAATTGATTGCTTATTATATACAGGCAATTTACTCCTTAAACCAAGCCCAATTTCTGGACTTTTCAAGAATTCAAAAAATGAAACAAAATATTGATTATAAAGCTTTCCCCACTCACAAGAAGCCTTGTAACAATGGGTTTTGTAGTCTAGCAAAACTGCTGTGTTTTATTTTCCTTATAAATGAATTCAGGGGGTAAAGGAGGGGACTAGTTGGAGAGAAAACAAACTGTTATAGAAATTAGCATTCCTGTTGCAGGTACAACCAGCACCACTGCTCTAAATGCCCAAGATGGGTCTCTGATACTGGTTTTGAAAAGCCAAATCCCTCACTAACAATATTTTGTGAAGTTTACCAAGTAGTATGGTTAAGAGGACATTTCTAGAAGCCAACAGTGGCTGAGTTCTAATCCTGGCTTTTCCATTGACACTTAGACATCACTTGATCTTCTGTCTGGAAAATGAGGATAATGTTTACCTACCTTCTTTACAAAATATTGCAAATGAGTTATCCTCATTTACAGGTGGGACTGTGAGGATTTACGTATTAATAGAGTTTAAGGCCAGAAGCAACCACAAGATCATCTAATCTTAATGTTATTATTAAAACCAAGAGTTCCCTTCATTGGGCCATTCCCACTCTGTACCATGGCTAATGCCTCCTCCGCAGTACCCTCCTCAAGTCACTCAGCAAGGTGCAGGGATCAGATCTGGCCAGAGGTGACAATTCCATTTCATGGCAGCTTTTGAAGTTTCAACATTTGTTTTCGTTACACACTGGAATAAAACCAAACCTTTCAAACGTTGCCGGAAAAAAAGGGATTTGTGTCACAATGGCCATTTTTGGATCAAAACCTGAGCTTTTTGATTTGGGTGGTGTGCATCACCCCTGGCCTGGGAAACCCAGATTCAAGTCCCTGCTCCGCCCAAGTCAGTGCTGAATTTTTCGTCTCAAATTATGCTAAACCAGGTGGAGCAGAGACATGAACCTAGATTTCCTACATCCCAGGCCAGTGCCCTAACCACCAAGCTTTAGAGCAGGGGTGGGCAAACTTTTTAGCCCAAGGACCACATCTGGGAATAGAAATTGCATGGCGGGCCATGACTGCTCACAAAATTGGGGTTGGGGTGCAGGAGGGGGATCAAGGCTGGGGCAGGGAGTTGGGGTGCGGGAAGGGGTGCAGGCTCCAGCTGGGGGTGCAGGCTCTGGGGTGGGGCTGGAGATGAGGGGTTTGGGGTGTAGGAGCGTGCTCCAGGCTAGAATTGAGGGATTCAGAGGGCAGGAGGGGGATCAGGGCTGGGGCGTGGGAAGAGGCTCAGGGGTGCAGGCTCCGGGCAGCACTTACCTCGAGTGGCTCCCGGAAGCAGCGGCATGTCCCTTCTCCGGTTCCTATTTGGAGATGCGGCCAGGCAGTTCTGCACGCTGCCCCATCCACAGGCACCAGTTCCTTGCAGCTCCCATTGCAGCGGGGCCATTGGAGCGTGTAGGAGCCGGAGCGGGGCCATGCGGCTGCTTCCAGGAGCCCGTGGAGCGGCCCCCTACTCTGTGCCCCTGCTGGAGCGCCAGAGTGGGACAAGCCCCAGACCCCGCTCCCCAGAGGGAACTCGAGGGCCAGCTTAAAACGGCTGGCGGGCCGCAGGCCATAGTTTGCCCACCCCTGTTTTAGAGTGTGAGTCTTAGGCGCCCTCTAACTCGATTAAAATCAATACACCTCCACGTAACACATTTCAGCTTCATCAAACAGCATATTTTGACAAAAAGGTTCGGACCAGCTCTAGCTGGGAAAGGAATCCACCCCTCCTAGGCCATAGATGTCCACAGCTGCTATCATGCCATCCTACTACAGCAGCCTCTGGCATAACCTAAGCTTGCATGCCCCCAACCACAAGAGGCTGGAGGATCTGCACCCATTCTCCATATTGCTCTGCCCTATATCTAGTTCCACCCTGCTCAAGCACCCAGCAGGCTCTGAGTGGCTTCCTCAAATCATGCCATTTCCTTGGCACAGCAGAACTGCACTGGTTCCAATGCAAGAGGGACCTCTTCACCCATGGGGGAAAAGGGCAAGATTTGCATCCCAGGAGGATAACTCAGCTATGATCCCAAAATTCTGATGATGCAGCGTGAGCTACACCAGACAGCAGCTTTGTGAGAGGCGCTCAGGGAGGCCACCAAACAGCCATGCAAATAGCTGTGACCTTATTTTAAACCAGTTCCGCCATAAAGCCCAATATAGCCAGCTCCTTCGTACATAACACATTTTAATGTACCGGCTTGCCCGAAACAGAGATACATCGTTAGCTCTGTATCCATGTAGTTAGGTGCAAGATTTCATCCACCTTAATTAGGTAGGGGCTGAAACATCTATGTGGCCCACTGAAGTCAGTGGGAGTTATGAGTGCTCAGCATCTCTTAAGATTAGTCCCATCGGATGGAAGAAAATCTATGATGAAAATCTGTTGAGTTTTACGGCCCCATGCCATAGCACTCTCCCACAGGATGAAGAGCTTGTAAATGTAGCTAGTTAATAATGTAAACACAAAGGGTAAATAAGTGAATAGTGGACTCAAAGCAGTTTATTGGTCTCACTTTATAAGAGACCAGCACTACACTAATAAAGAGAGTGGCCATTTCCAGTATTATCAGAGCACAATCATAAATTGCTGCTGTTTTAATAGGTGTCCAGGAGCCATAAAAGCATCCCTGCTGAGGAGAACAGTGACAGCTCTCTGGATTAAGTACATCCTTCACATTAGGGCTGAACCTGAGCCAGGAGCAATATAAGGAAAGGAGGCCTAGATAGCAACAAATAACAAAATGAATGTTTTAGACTTTATGATTATTAATGCTGCCACTCTCCATCTAGATCACTGAAGACCTGTAACCCAAACACGCAGGGAGTCTAACCAATATTCCAGGGAGGAATATTTCTTCAGTTGAAGTTGATTATAATAAAACTTTATTCCCTTTTCGTGCCAAGTAGAGAATGGCTTGAGTTGTAAAATCCAGACCCACAAAGTTTAAGTCAGTTCACATCCAGGGATGTGGTCTAGGTCACATTCAATAGCAAGTCTCTACCAACTCTGAACGTAAGGCATCGCATTAAAAAGAAAAACTTTGAAGTGGGGACCTTGGAGAATATCTATGAGCAAAAACTTGCCTGTTCTTTGTGCTAAGGAGCGAAATCCAAAATTGTTTGGAAATCAAAGCTGAGCCCTTCGTACAAATTGTTCAAATCAATATGACTGCTGGCTAGCTCTCTACTAGCCTCTCAGGGCACTTAGAGAAAGATAATCAGGCCTGTTCAGATAACAACTACTTCTTGCACTATCATTACAATTTTAGCTGCGCCTGGACACAGAGATCTGGTACTTTTGAGAAACAGCAAAAAGCAATAGTATATATGGAAATCTAGGCACATGCAATTCCAGGCTTAGCTGAAGACAACTAACTCAAGTGTGACTTCTTAAAAATACAGATGTTTTGAGTACCAAGGTAATTGTGGCTGTTATTTACCACTGTGATATTTGGCAACTTGGTGAACATTTTGGAATATAAAACACAATCAAAACACAGGAAGAAAAATCAAGAGAAACTTTGGGCTGATTAACTGCTCTATTTAATTGGGAATAACTGTTGATTTTCATGCTCTGCATTTTTATTTTTAATTGTAATAATGATATGTAGTCTCTGGGGGAAAAAAATTATTTGGATTGCTAGTAAAAAGGGATACCTGTCCAAAAACTCTTGAGCACCCTGACACCACTTACAAAAATAAAATTTAACAGCCTGTCCCCAAATTTGATGGAGTTTGTTGTTGTCTGAAGCACATGTAGAATGAACTGGCACTTTCATTGTTTGGCCTAAAATGAGAAGAACCAAGAACTGTAATATGATGCATGTGCGTGGACTTTGTGAGGTCTATTCCTTTCCTGATACGGATATCTCACTTCTGTAGGTGCATCAGAGTCATTTCAGGCAGTATCATGAACCATATACCAGCACTACATTCCGCCTTGAAACTAATTCAACTCCTTTATAAAGAGGCCCTTATAACCTGGCCAAACCCAGCATTAAAAACACCTCCTCACAACATGCACATTTTTCCTTGGTTCAGATGGGGGACCCTACCACAGAGACCTCTTTTGTGCTTCCAGATAAACAACCCCAATCATTGGTGGCTGTGCCTCAGTGGTGGGCAAAGTGAGCTCTGTGATATATAGTGCCTGTACAGAGCTTTGAGTCCAAAGGCCTTGTAGGAAACCTACAGGATCAAGGTTATGGAATTAAAAAAACAACAACAAAGGTTATTTATAACCTTGAAACCAGAAAGTGTTTCAAGAAGTCTTTTGTGCTGGGGGGCAGGATGGAGAGAGATCACCTGCCCCTCTAAGAGGGTGGGGAGGGGGGAGGGAAGAAATCCAGAACCCAGTTTGCCCCCAGAATTTGGAACATCAATGGGGCACTTCATCTGTCTTTAGCCGTTTCAGGGGAAGACCGCCCTCCTTGAGCACTTGGCAAGGGGATGCTTACCAGGAAGAAACCGACTCCAGCTAGTCACTTCCCCCGCTTCCTCGTCCAGCCCCAGAAAGCAACCACAGAGCTGACTGTTGGTTTTATTATTCCTGCAACGCAATCTTCGCGATCTCTACTCAAACCAACCGCCCCACTCCCCCCAGTTCGGGTGAGACTTGGAAAGCCAGCTTACCCCTGAGGTGGTGGAGCAGGGAGGAGAGGATGAAGAGGCAGGCGGCGCTGGGGGAAGAGAGCCCCCGTCTCCGGGGCATAGTGGCTGCAGCTGGAGGTGGGGTTGTGCTACAGCTGGGGACGGCAGAGCCCGCCGAGCTAGCAGCGGCCGCAGCTGGAGTCGCAGCTGCCTGGCCGGCGGGAGGCAGCGAGCCCGGGCTGCCCGGCGCGCATTACTGCCCCGGCGAACAGGTCACAGCGGCCGGCGCTAGGCGAGGCGGGCCGGGCGCAGAGCATGCCCCGCGCCCCGGGGGACCATGCAGCGAGCCCTGCCGCGCCTCAGGGGATCCCCTCCCCTGCCATCAGCAGCGGGGCACCGGCCTGGAGTGCAGCGCCACGGGCTCAGAGAGTGCGTGGCGGGACCTCCCTGGTCGCAGCCAAGTTTCCCAAGCCTCGGATTAATCCCTTCATTTCTCCCTCGCTGGGTCTGCCCCACTCGCTCTGTCCCCTCCCTCCCTGGGCCTGGCTCCCGCTGTCCCCTCCCTCCCCGGGTCTGCCCCACTCCCTCTGTCTGTCCCCTCCCCCTGGGTCCGTCTCCCTCCCTCCGTCCCCCCGTGCTCCAAGGTTCAGCCACTTTCTTCCCGCAGGAGGGTGCGAATATGAAATCTCCGCCCAGCCTGTCCAGTGAGCACGCAGGGATCCTTAACACTTGACTGCCCGCTGGGGATTCCTCTCTCAAGTCAAACGCTCACATGCCACAGACATCGCGCCAATAGACACACAAACACCTCCCACACACACACACACACTCACACAGATATACCCGCTCCCAGACTCCACACAAACAGCTGACAGGCACACTCAGACTCTTCACACACCCGGCACACAAATCCCATACTTCCCCCCCGATACACTGCACGCACAAACCTTCGAACCACACACACACACACACACCTCTCCAAGTGGGTATAGTTTTGTAACCTGTTCATAGGTTTAGCAGAATTCACTTTTTATTTTTTCGTAATTTCAGTGGTTAACATCACTGTTTATTCTTAAGCATTTTCTATTTTTATCAATTTAAATGTTCAGAGTTGTGAGAAATTGGGGGAGGAGCGCTCGGCCAAGAAGGAGGTCAGACAATCGTCATTTAATGACAGTATGTGCTGAGATTCAAAAAGTTTTATAACCATTTCAACATAAATTGTCAACATCTAAGGTAAAAATATACAAAGTTACAATACAAATACAATATCCTTCAGTCAAACTGGTAAGTTTTCAAACCACATTTTTCTTTGTTTGGCTATCTGTAAATGTTTATCATCAATATAAGTATTTTTTCATCAGTTGTGTATGCACTGTGAAATCAACATTATGCAACATATACTAATAAAAACCTAGTTCTTTAAAGCCTGCCCATCCATTTGCTTACATTAATGTTTTGTAATAGATATACTTAATGCATTTCTGGAAAAGAAAAGTAAAGAACAATCCAAATCAACTGAATGGCCTGGCCTCTGTTAACTCCAAATGGAAGAATTATTTAAATATCACTGATAATTCCCTTAATTTCCTCCCAGCCCTCTACAGTTTCAGAAGCAGGTTCCAAAAAACATATTTTCTATCCAATTGTTACAGAGTGAGAGAACCAACATTTCAGATCTAGAGGATGATTGCGGATTTATGAGGGCGTTTCAGTTGCTGTTTGGATTTACTCGTTTTTTCTGTTTTCCTGGATTATAGCTCAGTTATGCAATATTAAAGGAAAATTCCAGTAATTAGTTATACTAGTTTAGGCTTGGATCCTGAAAAGCTTTACCACTCATGGTGCCTACATGTTTGCTGGATTGGGGCATTAGAGTTTGAGCCTAAGAGATACTGATCACACAATCTCTATTCCTAATCTAATATTTACATTATTCACATACACAAAATAATATTAACTGTAATATTTGCTCTATTTCCATTAATTTTCATAGTTATTTTTTACAAATATGGCTAATTGTTTCAGTATTGTCAAGGAACTGGTTTTACTTTAACTAATTATTTGTTATCTGTGTTCAGGCCCTCTGTTAGGAATTGTCACACACAAAAGTTGTGCCACTTTCACTATACCAATATTGTTAAAGCAGTACAATCCCCTTGAGCACAGTTATATCAGTATACATATATAGCTTCTTCTCACGTGGGATGGGGAATAAGCAGTATTATCAACTCCGAAGGTTAAAAAACCATCAATCAGACCTCCAGCAATCATGGGATTGGCCCAAAATCATGGTGGTTTGGGTTTTGTTTCTTTAAGATTATATTGTATTTTTTTTCCTGTCTTTTGATTTCTGTACTCCCCCCGTCAACCCCTAGTCTGTGCGTGTGTGAGAGAGACAATTAGATTGCCAACACTCCCAATGCAGGAGCTTTTACCCCCACATCTGCCCAACCCCCTGCCAAGCAATCAGTTCTACCCCACAGCCCCCAATCAATTCTGCCCCCCTAGCCTCACCCCTGCTCCTCCTGCAGCTCCTGGACCTTCACCCCTTGTCCCAGACCAGAGTTGTGTGGGGATGCAACAGGGTTCTTTTCTCCCTCTTCCAGGCTGGGGAGAGGGGCAACTCCAGGGGTTCTTCACCCCCTGTCTCTGCCCCTTCCCAGTATTATACTGCTGCCCTGGGCACCTGGGCACTTTCTGCTCCTAGTCCCTGCTCCCCCCTCCCCTTCTGTGAGAAAGGGGTCTGCTCCTGAGAATAGGGGGAGAGAGCTGTGCCCACTTCCTGCAACAGCTCTGATTGGCTGCTTTCTCCCAGGAGGCAGAACTGGAAAAGCAGCTAATCAGAGGAGGGGCCACTCTCCCACTCCCCCAGCTGAAATTCTGAGGTGAGTAGTTCTGAGTCATTTCTTTACCAGACTAGTTCTGCTCTGCCAAAGGGCGGTGACTCCTGAGATAATTGGGGGAGTTGGCAGCACTGAATCAGCAATGCCAGTAGAAGGGCAGATAAAGGTGCTGAATTTGTGCCGAGGCTTGCCAGGGCTGAGCCGCAGCACCATTGGGCTTGCCACATCAGTTATGAAAGTAAAAAACTTGCTCAAGCCCAGGCACCTCTTTCCTTACAAATTAAGCACTGCCTCTATCCCAGTACAACGGTGCCCATACTAGGACAGAGTCATACTGCCATTTTGGTAAAAACAAAAATAAAAAAAAAGTCACACTCCAAACGGACGTCATTATTCTGAAACAAAACTGTGCATAGACCAAGCTTAACTGCCATATTGAAAAGAAAAGAGCCACCATTGGCTGGCCAATTTGGTGCAGGTATCACAGCCGAAGGGGGTGGGGGGGGTCTTGAGGAGCGATCTGAAGGAAGAGAACATGTGTAGTGTTCATTCAAAGTGCAATGTGCAAAGCATGCCTGAAACAAGTTGACCCCTGCTGTAATTTCAGCCATGTCAAGTTGCACCAGGGAGGAATATGTCCCACAGGTTTGGTAACTGAGAGGAGAATTTACCTTGTTATGTGTGTATATCCATCCGCTCTACAAAACTGAGCCAAATTCATTCCTGTATTTACAGTTTAGATCCACCTGGCCCACAGAGTGCTATGTTGCTGACATGCCTCTAGAATAAAAGTCACGCCTTTGTGGGGAGCCTGCATAAAGGATCTCTGTGCCACAGAGGCCCTGTGAAGATGTAATGAGATAGGTAAAGCAGCAGTGCAGGGGGTTCTCTACCCTTTGCATGCCATGGTAGTGAGCTCTGTCCAAACTCCGAATAAGCCAGCCTAGAGTGGACAATAAGGGTATAGCTACACTGCAATAAGCCACCCGCGGCTGGCCCGGCTTGTGGGGCTCAGGCTTGCAGGGCTATAAAATTGCAGAAGTGGTGGGGCCCAGGCTCTTGGAACCTGGTGTCCTGAGACATCGTCATGCTCTAGGTACTCCAGTGTTCTGAATAAAGAATGATATTGAATATACCCTATAAGCAGGCTGCAGTACCTGAGTGCTTTAAACACTCTGCTTGTCAAGTGTTAGGGGTCACCAAATGAAATTAAAAGGCAGCAGGTTTAAAACAAATACAAGGGAAGTTCTTCTTCACGCAGTGCACAGTCAACTTGTGGAACTCCTTATCTGAGGAGGT